TTCCCGTCTTCCATCTGCAAAATTTGCAAATACCATCTCTAAATACCGGCATTATCATAATTCAGAGGTTTGCATTAGTTCTATTCAAACGGTTTTCCGAGCKTAACAATCTCTCATTAACTAATGTTGAACGTTACTTGTGGTTTATTATTGTTTAGCAGATTACACATAGGAGCTGCCGATTTCCATACCATTCKTTGTCGGTTAGTCTTTACACTTGAACCATTTTGTTAAATGATTTCAGTCCTTAAACGAGTTGACTTTTTTTTATAATCGATACATGTTTGACCTTCAGAGAACAAATCAAACCAGTAGAACACTCGTTCGTTCCGTGGCAACAGATTCTTTGCCAAAGTCGGTTGAAGAATCGAATATGGATGCTCCTAAAGAGATCTTCCTAAAAGATTACGAATTACCAGATTACTACTTCGATACGGTTTGTACTTGGTTCAACTGAAATTTGGGTTATTTTTAGGATTTATAAATTATAATTAGAAACAACAGTTCTACTTTTTTGGGATAGAGGTCAGGTCTGCATACATCTTACTCTCCTGGACCCCACCACCTCAGGTGGGGTATACTGGGTTYGTTTGGTTTGGCTATGTGCGCTAATGAGTTGTGAAATCAGGTGGATCTGAGTTTTTCGTTGGGCGAGGAAAAAACAATCGTGTCAGCAAAAATCAGCGTCGCTCCTAGAGTTGATGGTATGCTTTGCGGTTTTCGGTTTTCAGTTTTCACCCACTTGGAATATTTAGTAGAGTTGCGTTCTTTTGTTAATTTTTTTTGGGGATGGATATCGTTTTTAACAGGTGTCGGGTCTCCGTTAGTTTTGGATGGGACTGATCTCAAGTTGGTTTCGGTTAAAGTTAATGGCAACGAGCTGAAGGTTTGCAATACGGAAAGTTAAAGTTTGAGTCTTGATGGTTCTTTTTAATCGGGTTTCACATGCTAAGGCTAAATTTACGTGGGTTTTTTTCAGATGGGAGATTTTCATGTTGATTCACGACATCTTATTCTCACATCGCCTCCAAGTGGGAATTTTGTCTTGGAAACACTCACCGAGATTTTACCACAGAAGAACACATCATTGGAGGTAAAACGGCTACTCCTCCGTTCCATTTCCAATTCTACCCTTAATTACAAGATAGAGAAATTCATCACTCTCTTTATTATTAAGGGTGAAATAGTCATTTAATCAATCAAAATTCCGTTGAAGCAGGGTCTTTACATGTCTTCGGGTAATTTCTGTACACAATGTGAAGCAGAAGGTTTCCGGAAGATAACATTTTATCAGGTTCCTTACTTGAACTGATTGTTGATTTGTTTTCTTGTTCTTCTTTTCACTCGTTTTCTAAATTTGTTCGCATTTTCTTTTTCAGGATCATCCTGATATTATGGCGAAATATACTTGTTGTATTGAGGCCGACAAGTCATTGTATCCGGTGTTGTTGTCTAATGGAAACCTCATCGAGCAAGGAGACCTAGAGGTTTTTCTTTTTGTGTGTGTGTCTATTGGTTAGTGCCGAACACGGTTCGGTTTGATCGGTTTTGTGCCGTTTCATGGGGCGGAACCAAAACTGTTGGTTTATGAAATTTGGAACCGCCGACCACCAAACCGTGATCTGRGATATATTGGGCTGTCTGGTTTGGTTTAGTTTATAAATTTWTTCRTTGTTGGCTTGATCATTGTTAGATTTCTAGGGATTCAGGATATCAATAAACTTAGATAATTAATTGGATCGTTTATGGAACACTTTCAAGAATCTGTAATTCCACCCTATAACCTGAGGTTACACGAATTTAGATTTGGGATAATCCAATAATTCAATCCAGATTTCAGGCAAATCCAAGATTAGTAAAACACAAAATACCTTGTTATAGATTATGTTTGTAGAGACAAATTCGACAGAGAATAACCAATATATGTTTTTCGTATGTCTTTAGCAAATATGGAACATGGTATATATAGAATACCAAAAGACACATTTTCAGAAAGGCTTTAGTTAATTCGGTTAGCTAACCAAAAGGTGGTAGTTAATTCGGTTAGCTAACCAAAAGTGGTAGTTAATTCGGTTAACTAACCAAAAGTGGTTGTTAATTCAGTTAATTAACTAAAAAGGTGTTAGTTAATTAAGGAGGGAATGGTTGCATCTGTTAGGAAAAGATGTGACGATTCATTTCACTTGGAAATAAATGATGCAATGGTTCAACATTCCCTTGACCCCCGTATTCCCGAGTTCATATTAGCTTATCCGAGTGTGCGTTTCACACCTTCGAACTCGAATTGTAGCCAATACTAAACTCATTTTGTCTCACATTAATCTTGACTACACCAAATGGCTAGATGACACTAAAATCATCAACATTCCTCCCCCATTTTCGTGTAATCTTTATTAACTAAAAGTTCAAACATAAAATCAAACTCATGCGTAAATGAAAATATCTAGAAGATTGAATTTCCACATTAGTATAATATACGTTCCAAATACTCGAGAATCAAGGGTGTCCCAAGGATTGAACCCATCAACACATTTGAGTAATTGAAGATACTATACTCATAAGTTAATACACAAAATCTAGTGTTTACACTTGACAATATTATTAAGCCATGTGTCCTATCCATTCATGAGTGCATAAAAAGCCAAACCCAAGCTCTCAGAAGCGGCGACACTTCACACTAACATAGGTAGCCCTTTTACTTTATGCACCTTCAAATGCACTTTTTCAAGAGAACGATTAAGAAATATATTCAACCTAACTCTAGTCTGTAGGACTAAGCACATACCTTGGGATGATGTAGACGATGTGCTTCAATCTCCAAAAGTAAGCTTTCCACGTTGAATCCAACTCCTAATATTGTATTAGAAGGGAATTGGGTATCTCACTTTAGAGATATCAAACGGGCCTTAAACCCATCCCTATAGCTGACTTATTTACCAAGTCCCTAGCTAATCCTTTAGTCAAGTGATCAGCTAGATTCTGTTGTGATCGAACAAATACAACAGAGATAATCCCATGAGTGATCAACTCACGTACCATGCTATGTCTAACACCCAAATGTCGTGACTTTCCATTATACACTTGACTATATGCTTTTGCCAAAGTGGCAACACTATCACAGTGTATAGAAATGGGTGAGATTGGTTTTGACTACAAAGGAATCTCATAGATAAGATTTCTTAGCCATTCTGCCTCTTTCCCAACAGCAGATACAACTACAAATTTAGATTCCATTGTTGAATTTGTGATGCAAGTTTGCTTTTTAGAGGCCCAAGAAATTGCTCCTCCTCCAAGTAAGAACACCCATCCACTTGTGGAGAAGTGATCTTCAAAATCGGTAATCCAGCTTGCATCAGAGTACCCATCAATAATCGAAGGAAATCCCATATATGACAAACCATAGTCCTTGGTTTTCTTTAAATATTTTAGCACCCGCCTTATAGCTTGCCAGTGATGAGTACTGGAATTACTTGTAAATCTACGTAATTTTCCTACATCAAATGCAATGTCTGGACTAGTACTAGCCATGGCATACGTTAAACATCCAATGACCTTTGAATACTCGAGTTGTGAAACCGCTTGACCTGTATTGGGCATTAGTTTCATACTCGGATCCATAGGAGTGCTAACCGGGGAACAATTTGAACAATTAAATTTCTTTAGTACTTTCCCAATATAATGAGATTGTGAGATAGAAATTCCTTGGTGTTCACGCTTAATTCTGATTCCAAGTTCACTTCAGCCTCCCCCATATCCTTCACATAGAATTTGGAAGACAAGAACTCCTTAGTTATATCAACTTGTTTTTGGTCTGTTCCGAAAATTAACATGTCATCTACATATAGACAAATGATTACTCCTTGACCAGATTTATCAAACTTACTATATACACATTTGTCTGCCTGGTTTAACTTAAAACCATTTGATAAGACAACATCATCAAATTTTTGATGCCACTGTTTAGGTGCTTGTTTTAGCCTATACAAAGACTTAATCAACTTGCACACTTTATGCTCATTTCCAAGCATAATGAAACCTTTAGGTTGTTAAATGTATACCTCTTCGTCTAAATCACCATTCAAGAAGGCATTTTTAACATCCATTTGGTGAATCACTAGATTATGAATTGCAGCTAGAGCAATTAACAATCTAATCTCGAAATACGAGCGACTGGTGCATAGGTATTAAAGTAGTCAATTCCAGGTTTTTGTCTATAACCTTGAATGACCAAACGAGCCTTAAATTTGTCTATTGATCCGTCCACTTCCATTTTCCTTTTGAAAATCCACTTGCAACCTAATGGTTTGCAACCTGGGGGAAGATCAGACAGAACCCATGTTTTTTTTTATTAACTTGGATATCCAACCCGCTATGCGAGCCGACTAATCCCAGGACGACCACCTGCTTTGCAGATAGGCTGGAGTCACCGCATTTGAACCTCCGTGGCCACAAGGGGATTTTTATTCCTCCTTGGATTTGAACCTGGGACCTCCTGGTACTTTTGACCTTTGGAGCCAAGCTCAAACCAATCAAGCACCACCTTTGTGATTACAGAATCCATGTATTATTTCCTATGATAGAATCCATTTCATCATTAATTGCTTCTTTCCAGAAGGCAACGTCTTGAGATCTCATTGCCTCATCAAATGTTTTAGGATCTTCTTCAATACTGAAACAACAATTGTATTAATAGGCTATTTCATCTCTAGAACCCTCAACCAAATATAATTGAAAATCAGGACCAAAGGATTTAGCCTTTCTTTCTCTTTTGCTTCTTCGAAGCTCTAGTGATTCACTCGTACTAGGGGTGGCTTCCTCCTCTTTATTAGTTCCACTTAAAGTAGGAGTCATGTTCTTTGGTCTAGATATTGATGTAAACCGAGTTTCATCAAATATGGCATCTCTAGATTCTATAGCAGAATTAACTGAGACATAACTGTTAGGTTCTAAAACAAAGAACCTATAAGCTTTGGAATGCTCAGCATATCCAATAAAGATGCAATCAATACCTCTTTCACCCAAATAACACCAAAAATAAAAGGTTTATGTAGTTTTCAAAATTTTATTTTATGCCTTTCCTATATTATTTTTCTATTACTAATGTTTAATAAATTGCATAAACTAGTCAGAATACTGAAACCGTACACAAATAATATTTTGAGGACAATAAAGTGAAAGTTTAAAAATCATAAAATACAATGAATGAAATTTAAAGAATGAATAAAATGTAAAGAGGGAGGCGTATTTGATGTTTTAGAACAGAATCAAGTTTTATTTTGAGGTTATATTGGTAACATAAAGGTCTTTTTCACCTTGTTCAACGGGGTGCAGGTGGGACACGCCTGTTCTACTTTGTTCTACTCTGTTCCACATAAAAGTCCTGCCAAACATGGAACAATGATCCCTGTTTTGTCCTGTCCTGTCCAGTGTACCAAACGCAAAGAGATTCGCAAATCTGCATTTTCGTATCACAATCGGCCGACATTGATTTGAATTCATTGCAGGGCGGCAAGCATTTTGCTCTTTGGGAAGATCCGTTCAAGAAGCCATGCTATCTTTTTGCTTTAGTTGCCGGACAGTTAGAGAGCCGAGACGATACTTTCACAACGTGTTCGGGTCGTAAAGTTGCCCTGAGAATATGGACCTCGGCACAAGATCTTCCCAAGACGGAACACACCATGTATTCTCTTAAAGCTGCCATGAAATGGGATGAAGAAGTTAGTTCTTTGCATGATCTTATCGACCTTTTGACGTCTATTCGGTCGATAATCAATTCACCCCGTTTGCTGTCCGTTTCCTCTTTTTGTAAACAGGTTTTCGGTCGTGAATACGATCTTGATCTCTTCAACATTGTGGCCGTTCCAGATTTCACGTAGGCAACCGTTTTTATATTTAATTGTTGTAAAGATGCTATTCGACTTCACTTACGTTTTTTCCTCTCAACTTGTGATTACCAGGGGAGCCATGGAAAACAAGAGCTTGAACGTATGTGCCGAAAAGCTTTAATTTTTTTGTTTCTTTTCCGTATTTAAAGATTTTCTTGTTAATCTTTTCTTGGTTGTTGGCAGATCTTTAATTCGATGCTTGTTCTGGCATCACCTGAAACCGCAACGGATGCCGATTATGCTGCAATTTTAGGTGTCACTGGTCATGAGGTATTTCATTTTATATTCGACTTTTTGATCTTTTCTTTTAGTTTTATATTGTCGTTTACTCATAATGACACGTCTTTTTCCATCACTATATTGCAGTACTTCCACAACTGGACTGGCAACAGGTTTGGTTATTATCCATCTATCAATCACATTCTCTTGTCCATAATTCAAAAAAAACCCGCTCTACTCTTTTGGGGTAGAGGTTCAGGTCAACATACATCTTACCCTCCCCAGACTCCATCTCTAGTTGGGTTTATATACTGTAGAGGTCCGGTCTGCGGCTGCCTACATCTTACCCTCTCCGGACCCCACCTCTAGTTGGGATATACTGTAGAGGTCAGGTCTGCTTACATCTTAGTCTCTCCGGACCCCACCTCAAGTCGGGATATACTGGGTTTGTTTGGGTTGGTGTGGTTTATCCGATTCTTACGTTTATGAACGCTCAAAAACTCATAATTTCGTCAAGATTTTTAAAGATCTTTATGGAGGCCCTTTTGAGGGCGAAGCTAAATGTGGTATTCAAATGTTTTGTAGGGTGACATGCCGTGATTGGTTCCAATTGAGTTTGAAGGAAGGTCTTACCGTCTTCCGTGATCAAGTAAGGGATTTATTGTTAAATAATTTTACTAATTTGTTTCAAGCTCCAAAGAAATCGATATGGGCGCGTTTGGTATGCAGGGAACAAAAACTTGGGGTCCCACTTTTGGTGCGACAATCAGACTTGAACGGGATAGGACTGAGTGGGATAAAGACGCATTATTTTTCTATCCTACCAAAATAGACGCAACAAAAATCGGGGAGATGGGACAAGCTTCATAAATTATAAAATTACCAAGCTACCCATGTCAAATTAAAACCCTAAAACCTTCCACAATTCTTTCACCCGCCTACCTCACTCTCGGGGCTTGTTTGTTAGCAACTTGATGAGCTTAATGGGGCTCGCAGCTTTTCCTTCAACTATAAATTACTGTTTGGCTGTGGCTTAATGATATAGAAAGTGGCTTATTCAATAAGCTTCTAAGGGGAGTTTTATGCAGAAAGCCAAGTTTTTTTTCCAAACCTGCCTGTCCAACACGCTCATTCCATCTATAGAAGAAACCTCCCAAACAAAAAACCTTCACGATCTATACAAACAGATGCATCCACACAGACAACTTTTATCCATACAAAGGCTTAATGAAAAACCAATCAAACAGGCCTTCACTCGTCTGGTCCTGTCCACGTGCCAAACACACCATATACTCGTGGCAAAATATAAGGTCTTAATGCTTAACGTATGTGGCAGGAATTTTCATCCGACCTGGGCAGCCGTACAGTAAAGCGGATCAGTGATGTTTCGAAGCTTCGTATATACCAATTTTCACAGGTTTGTTCAATTTACGTCTTTTAACGGCAAATATATGACGGTCTTCCTAAAAGGCGTCATGCTATGGATTTTCGGATACATAATATTTCTTCATAATCTTTTTCTAGGATGCGGGTCCCATGGCTCACCCCGTTAGGCCTCACTCATACATTAAGGTCCGAT